TCACCCCCCCCCCCCCTCCCTCCCCCCAAAAAACCAAAAAAACCCTATATCCTAAATGTTCTTATTCTTCTTTGGATTGTGAGTACCATAGCAAAAGAACTTGCATACAACATAAGTATTTGCCCAGCAGCTGAGTGGTTTTGTTTTTTAAGTACCCAGATGATAAAGATATGCTTTTGACCAGAAATATTACTGCAACTAAGAGGTAATAAAAAAGGAAAAAGAGTGGGGCTTGGACATTTCCTTTTAAAAGGAAAACAGTCAGTTTAATAACTGAAAATAGATTTAAACTTTTAAAACAAACTTTGATTAAAAATTAGGATGCAACAAATTATTCCATTATTTAAAGATCACCTTTTTCCCATGATTTTACTTCTAAACTAATATTCTGCTGCAGCTTTTGAAAAAACAAAATCTTGCAACACAGAGAGCCTAGAGGTGACTCATTGTAACTGTCCTGAATGAGAGAAATTCAAAACATTTAAAAACAAAAAAGACATCAAGCAACTAATATACAGTTTATTTTAATCATGTTTCTTTGATGTGACTAAATCAAAAACACTATTTTAAATTCAGACTCACAATAAAAATTATGTAATAAATGGCAACAGAAGAATACAGCTCTGCTCTGTCTCAACATGCTGTGGTCCTGGGCGCATGTGCAAATCAGTGCCTGGGAGCAATAAAGTGGTGCTGTGTGTGCTAGAGTTTATTGTCACATTAATTTCACATGTAGATGATCAGCTTAGTTCAAAGAGATTTTACTTTTTTTGATGTGTAGCTGTCATTTTGGTATTAAATACATACTTTATACATACTTTATACCTTACGTGCCGAAGTGTATTTTCCTGAACTTGAATATTACCTGGAAACTCTCAAAACTTGAGTACATCTCGGGTAACTAAAATTCTTAGTTTTAGTTCCCTCAGTTTTTAGGCTGTAGTGATGGTAGTTTTTCTGTAATTCCTTTTAGTCCACTACTTCTAAAGTTAGGAACAGTTCATGGGGCTCCCTGCTGTTTGGGAATGTGTCAATCAAGCTGATATCTCCTGCCACAGCATTTGTTCTTCTAACTGCCTTCCTCCAAACGATAAATACAGCAATAATTTATTTGAGTAATAATATTTTCACATTATTTACCTCCAAATACTTTTTTTTGTCCATATTTTTAAACTCGTGATGGCCTGGTTTTTCCTGACTAATGTGATATGCATAATCTAAAATAAAAATAAAAAAATAAATCTGAGTATGAAAATGCTTATATTATGGACTCGAAAGATATTTATAGCCAAGTGGAAGCTTTGGAGAATCTAGTCACTTTTGGTTTTCTTGGTCCTTTTCCCTATATGTCTGCAGCTTTTAAAGCAACAGGAGTTGTACATTTACGCTGAATGATTTTTGCACAGTTATGACAGTCAAATACAGTTAGAAATCCCATTATGTAAACACTTTTAAGTCTTATAGCAAACCAGTTATCAGGCCTGATTTTTCTGGTGATTTAAGATGATATGCAAACTCTGGCTTTATGCAGTTATAAGGGACTGGAAGTGATATTGGTGATCATGGTAGAAAATAATGAAAATTCCTTATTATGTAAACGCATACATCATGCTTGAAGTATCACTAGGCTGGTGCTCTTGGACTGCCTTTTCCCACAAATAACTTATTTCCAATACAAATTAAATATAATTAAGTATAAAAAGGTAGCAATCATTCCTTTATAGCATATGTGTACTATATATGCTATAAAAGGAGAATCATTTAGGTCCATATGGACTAATACAGACAGCTTGTATACTACATATGGGTGTGGGTGAATGTGCTTGCATGCTTCAATGTTTACATGCAGATATAAAGGCAGATTTTAAATATTACTATATATGTAAATGATCTGGCTAATTGGATGGAATTTCAGTATGAGCTTCAAAAGAGTGCACACTTGATATCATTGGTACAAACTTCCCTTATGAGCTGTGAATAGTTCAGAATATTGGTTCTTTCTCTCTGTCCCTGGGAAGTGACTCCCATTCTAAAATGCAGGGTGAGTCCCTGTCTTTTGTAGGGAATTTTGTATTTTGTACTGGATGGAAATATACAAAGTCTTAACAGCATAGAGATGGAACCATATCTACATGTGAATGCAACAACTATGCCTACCATGCAAGGTTGAAGTGGCCAAGTGCTGGAGGGATTATGTTGAGAAGAGGGAATGGAGGAGGTAGTACTAGGATAGTATCCAGGTAGGGAGTAGTTTTCTCTTCCCTGCCCCCACACATGTGTACATACATACACACTTGCCTCCCTCGCTTCAAGATCCCTGGTATAGCGCAAAACCTTGATAAAATATTAGTGATTATATCAACACTTCCCTTATTACAATTACCAAAAAAGACAGTTGAGTGCTATGAAGTCATCAATTTAGGCATTTTTTTCTCCCTGAGATCTGCCATTGCATTGACCTTCTGCTCCCCCCTCCTCTTTTTCACAAACTTCATTGAAGCTGGGTTGAATTTTTATTTTGCATTTTCTCTGCACTAAAATGGGGGAAAAAAACCCCCAAATTTTCATGAAGTAACTTGCTTACCAGGGATTGCTGGCTAATTATGGTACTTCGCTCTGCCCTTTCCTGCAGATATGCAAAAAGAAGGTATGTACAGTTGAAAACAATTACATCAACAGACAGTAACAGCTTATTGTGCATCCTCTGCCTTATGTCCATGCACCTATAATCCCCATGATGTATTTCATTCCAGGAGTGAGGTACCTCTGTTTAACTTCTA